TGTGTGTGTAGGGAAAGGGGCCACCCTGGGCGCTGTGGGGAGTTGGGCAGCATCCTTGGCCCCACCCACTCAATGCTAGCAGCACCCAGTCATGACCATCACAGATGTGCCCAAACACTGCCCAGTGTCCCCTCGGCAGAGGCAGAGGGCATTGACTCGCTCAGGTACTGCACAGGTAACATGCACACTCTGCATGACACATCCGTGTCCCTCCTAGTACAGCCACCTTCCCCGGCCCCTCCACAAATCCCACCTACTCACCACCCACTTCTGGCAAGCCTGGGCCCAGAGTCTCACTGCTCTCCTGATCCACCCTCAGCAGAGCATCCCAAAATACACACGCCTGGATGGGGCGAGAGGCCGGTGTTTACAGATCCTAGGCCATCTGGAGGGGCCACCTCGGGAAACAGAATCCAACTTCATCAGTGTGGTAGGACCACAACTTTGGTAAAAAGACACAATGCCTTTTGTTTTTAAGGCTGGGAGGAAGAAGAGCAAGCTGGCCGAGGGGGCACTTGGGGCAACATACAAAACACTTGTCTTTTGCCTTTCTGGTGCGCTCCACTGTTTTTTTAAATGAACATTACTCTGAGTCCTGAAAAAAAACACCGGATTTGAAGGGTAGGGCCTGTGTGAGGCTGAACCACCGACAAACACTCGGGTTCATTTCACCGGTGACACCGCTAGTGTGAGCCGTGAACTCAGCGCTGGTGTCAACTTCAAAAGGACTGCTTTGCCGACCCACGACCCACGGCACCTTCACTTCTGATCCCTTCCTTACAGAAACAGCAAGAACAATAGAACCACCCACCCTGTGCAGCAGCGAAGGCTCCTCCCGTGGGAGGCCTCCAGCTTCCATCCCCGAACCTGGCGGGCCCAGCTCCCTGGGGGGAGCTGGAGCCACACGTGGACGCACAGCTTCCGGGGAGGAACAGAGAGAGACAAGGGGCCTCAGCGAGAAAAGAAAGAACCTCTGACCGGAGGTTACTGATGTCTCAGCTCAGACCTCACACCTCCTACAAGAAGCCCTGCCAGATCCCTCGCCGCTCTCGCCAAACTCTGCCACGGCACTGACCATCGCCGCGATGACATCTAAAGAGAAGCAAGTCCATTAACCATCTCGGCTCAACCCGAAGCAGGACATTCCTTGGAAGCCTGTCCCCGCTCCCGTTCTCGGCACAGGGTTTTGACTTATTCGCTGTACAGTCTCGTCTGACAACGCGGCTTTACACGGAGGAGGCGCAGCCGGGGGCCTGGTGCGGAAACAAGGGGAGGCGGTGGGGAGGGACCCCCGCCCCGGGAGCTCAAGCGCCAATCAGGGCCGGGGTCCCGGGCCTGCCGACCGGGGTCAGCTCGCTCGCTTCCCGAGCCCCGCGCTCTCTCACTCCACCCTCGCGACACCCCTAGGAGGGCATGTTCTCCCACTGTTTACATTTTATACTTCGTGGAAACGGAGGCTTACAGAGGTCCCGCTACTTGAACCGGGCCCCGAGGAGGATGGTCCCGGTCCCGCAAGAGTGTGGGGAGGGGGCTGGGCTGGAACCGGGGGACCGGGGAAGCACCTGCGGTGGA